AAAATCTGCATTTTCTTAATGTAAAATATGTCTTTTACTAAACAAAATTTTGAATGTATTTAGAATAAGTTTTGTATTTTTAACATAATTATTTTATTTTAAATATTATTAAATCTGGTCTGCATATAATACAACTTTGTTGATAAAAAAAGAAGAAGATATACTTTAGTCGAAGAATAAAAATTTAGATTTAACATTATATCTGAAATAGGAGACTAGAATTTTTTTTAGATGTGTCAAACACACAAATTATAATAAACTACTTTCGAAATCTCAAAATCCAAAAACACTGTAACCTTTTAGATTGATGGAACGGATTCTTATCAGTTTAAATTAAATATTTATGTTTTCAGAGTCAGAGTCGAATAGCGAATCAAACTAAAGATGAGTGGAGGAAGTCGAAGTGTACAGTTTCTTGATTCTGAATGGCTTGACCAATTTTTTTCTATCCGTAAGATTTATTTTCTTATTTTATTTGAATTTTCATTCTAAATCAGTGGATCCACTGATATATATGTTATGTGTTTTTATTTTTTTGCAGCAAATAATCGTTTCCAGACCAAGAGGGTTGCGTGATTATGGTGGTTATGACAATCTTATACTATATACGCTATTAAGCTTTACTAGTGATGGGATATAACAACACCAATATATATGTGCAGTAGGTAATTAGTTTTCCTTTGTATATTTAGGGGGTGTTATTGTACATTGTAATTCAGTAGAATTGGAATCACATATTGGAATTTGAATAAGAAAGTATTTTAATGGAATTTGAGTAAGAAAATATTTTAATGGAATTTGATGAATCCACTAGTATGCAGGTAGATTTTGTTGTAATTCACTGCCATGTATTTTTAGTAACTGCTGTGGAATTTTTGAGGCAGTTAAAGATCTTGATTTTTTCTTCTATTAATGCAACAAAAGCTTTGGTAAATCGCCGTCAATACATTAATGTCAGTCTCTTCATAATTTAAGTCTTCTTGTGCATGTTCTTTTGGATTCAATCAAATCAAACTAATGGCTAACACAGTTGAATAAAAATTGGATTTTTTTACCATGGAATGATAATTTTTTCGAGGGACATAGATCAGCTTCAAATTGTTTTTCTTTTTAGTGTGTTTCTATTTTGTCTAGCCAATCTCGTTTCTTTCAAAATACTATAAAAAGTATAGGATTTGTTTTAGTCTTATTGTAGTTAAAAAAATAGTTTGAATTCCATTAAAATTCATCGTAACTGAATTCTTACAAAATCTACACGACATTGAATCACATGGGTTTTTAGTGGATTTAAATTTCATCTAACAAATACTCAATCCAATAACACTGGATATAAATTTGGATTTAAATTCCATTGAAATTTATTAAATTACCATATCCAATAACACTCCCTTATTTAAACAACATGGGCATTCATGGTTTATTGTTTCCACAAAAAATGTACATAACCTCTTTAAATGACTAAAACATATTGATATATATCTAACTATTTATTAGCAAAAGTTATTCTGGTGCAGTTTCTTATATGATCATTTATCACATAGTGAAATGTCATTCTTTTTGAATCACTCAATCTATCACGATAAAAAATCAGACATGGTCAGGACAATAAACTAATAACCTTCTTTATATTTTTTTTGTATCAAATAGAATAAGTTAATTAAATGGAATAACTTTATCTAAGTCGGATTGCATTAAGTTGAATAAGTTTAAACTTTAAAGAGTTGGAATAATAATATCATAGATTATTACTAAGTTAAAACTCTTTCTCATTGGATAAGAAGATCAATGCTCTCTCAATATCAAAGTATAAACACATGTTGAATTATAGACTCACCTTGTCAGAATGTGGTGTCACTTTGTTATATTTCTTAATTTATTTATAATGCAGGTTATGGACTTATAGGAAATATATAGAAGCAACAAAGTTTATGCTTGTCCTAATTGACTAACTGGCCAAACAAATTGTATATGCCTCACCGCTAATATTAAATACATTATGAGTTTATTGTGCATAAATAAAAGAGATAATATTGTGAACATATTAATCGCTAATATGGATTGAGAAGATTTGAGGTTTCTAGTCGCATTTCCACGAATAGAATGAGAGTTGAAGTTTCCAAAATAGATAAACTAACAAGGGTTAATGTCATGGTTTTTGTTAACCGTTCTAAAAGCAAATCAAAAATATTATACAACATTCTAAAAAGAGGAGGGACTGGTTCACGGCGAAAGAAACAAAATCAACATTAGATGATCATCTTCCTTTTGCAGATACCAAGACTTCTCACCATATGGATAAATCACATTCACACCTATATAAAGCTAGCCACATAGTAAAAGCATGTCCAGTCACTTATATATTAGTCATTATTACTAAGAAATTTGTCATATATTATTACCACAACCAATTTCACTAAAATAAAGTGATATAAAATATACTAAAAATTGATATGGTTTAATGTAAAATGTGACATGGATAACTATATTTAATGTTAATTTTTATTTTTGATAATTTTTTAAAACATGATAATAATCCATATATCATCATTAGTCTCTTTATAGGGAATGCATAAACCAAATTTTCTTAGTGGACTAGATTTATTTAAAAAAAAAAAAATTAAGAAATATTATTTAGTTTAATTCCAATTTGACAGACGTCTAGAACGATTTTTAGAACACTGATTGTCAATGTGATGGTGTACTGTAAGAGATTGTTTTAGTTAGGAAACTTTATGCTATTTGTAGCAGTCCAAAAAATGCTAGAGGAGACCAAGGCTCATATTAGTCCGAGTTATTGAAACAAGATATGATTTCATTTCTCATCAGCCATGTGTTTTTAAAAATGCAAACTTTCTATTCGGTTGCTCGAAGCTAATGAAACGACGGCATTTCAACCCTCCAAACAACCAGTCTCAATTAATAATAGGCCCAATAAAGAAGACTAAATAAATTTGAAAGCCCAATTAATGGTCTGTATATATAGCTCACAGGTTAAAGCTTGCTACGTTGTCGAACTATGTTAGCATCTCCAACTAGATTCGTTACTCAAAGAATCCCATTCCAATCTTCTAATAAGATTCCTACGATCTTCCTTCCTCCCTTTCCCAGAGGATTTCCTCAGAGATCAGTGACCAAATCTTCAGAGAACATTCGTTTAGTTGCAGCTATGTCAACCACTTCCGTCAACGCAGTCAACGCCGTCACAGACGCTGGGAGAGGATCGATCACTCACGTCATATTCGACATGGATGGTCTCCTTCTAGGTAACTTCTTTGTCTTAAATTATTGATCTTTGCTTATGGGTTCTTTAATTGTAGTTCGTGTATTAAAGCTGAGGCTGTTCTGTAATAAGTTGATTTTTAAAGTTGGAAACTCTTTTTGGTATTTTTGTAAGAATTTGATTTCTCTATAGTTTCAGTGGTTAAAGACAACAACTTTGTGAGAATACTTAAAATGTATATTCTACAAATAGTAAAAGATCATGTCTTGCTGATCCTAAACTCTATTGAGTGTAGCTTTTATGTTGAGGCTGTTCTGTAAGAAGTTATTTAAAGTTGGAAACTTTATGCTGTTTTTGTAAGAATTTGATTTCTATTGTTTCAGTGGTAAAAGACAACAACTTTTTGAGATTAACTTAAATGTTGATGGTAAAAAAAAAAGGATCTGTCTTGATGATCCTAAAGCTTATTTTAATTATGTTTGTGTACTGTTTTTGTAGACACTGAGAAGTTTTACACGGAGGTACAGGAGAAGATACTTGCTAGATACAACAAAACATTTGATTGGTCTTTGAAAGCCAAGATGATGGGGAGGAAAGCCATAGAAGCTGCCACGCTTTTCGTTGAAGAATGTGGAATCAGTGACTCTCTTTCTCCTGAAGCTTTCATTGTAGAAAGAGAGTCAATGTTGCAAGACCTCTTCCCCACAAGTGACCTTATGCCAGGTTACAATGATCCTTTCCTCTATTTATGTAGATTATTATTAACGCAAAGACAACAACTTGTTCTCCTGTTGTGTTTAATCAATAAAACTGAAGATATTGTTGATTTACACTCTTCAAGTTGCTAAAATCTGAAGAAATATACTCTCAAGTTTTAGACTTGTTCACACAGATTAGAAAATATTTAAGTTTATATAATTTCTAGACAAAAACATTATTAACTATAAACCTAATCATATTTTAACCAATAGAAAAATAAACTATAAAATAGAAAAGTCATATAGCTCTTAGAGTTAATAAGCATCGAAATTTGAAAACATTGTCCAGTAATATATTCTCTAAAACGTCATCTATTAAAAAACGAAGGGAGTAATATTTGCTGTGATGATCTAATACCCTTCCTCTGATGCAGGAGCTAGCCGACTTCTCAGACATCTCCATGGGAAAGGAATTCCAATTTGTGTGGCCACAGGGTATCTGTCTCTCTGCATCAGCACATTATAATAGAACACTGAATCTGAGAGTGCCAATGGCGTTTTCAGCTTATTTTTTATGCGTTTCTCATTTTGCCATATCTGATCTGTTTTGTAACCCTCTATTAATATGCAGTACACACACAAGACACTTTGATCTAAAAACGCAAAGACACAGGGAGCTTTTTTCACTGATGCATCACATAGTGCGTGGAGATGATCCAGAAGTGAAGCAAGGGAAGCCTGCTCCTGATGGTTTTCTTGCTGCAGCTAGGAGATTTGAGGTTACTATAGACTTTACTAGCAAGTGTTTCGACCTTCAAAATGAAAATGAGAGTTTGTAAACTAATAATGTGTCTACCTCTGCTTTGTTGATTTCATAGGACGGTCCTGTAGATCCACGTAAGGCTCTGGTGTTTGAAGATGCTCCTTCCGGAGTCATGGCAGCTAAAAACGCTGGAATGTAAGTTGGTTCCTGGTTTTACAGTTTCCAAGTCCTCTCTAGTGGTTGATTTTGAGAGTCTCTATAATGCTAAACATGTGTTGTTTTTTTGGATGGTTTGTGAGCAGGAATGTGATAATGGTACCGGATCCAAGATTGGACAAGTCCTACTGTACTGTTGCAGATCAAGTTCTAGCCTCTCTGCTTGATTTCAAACCAGAGGAATGGGGCTTACCTCCTTTTGATGATTCACAAAACTAAGACCACAAAGCTTCAGGGTAACGTTATCATCAAGCTATAAGATACTTAACTGGTTCGCTTTGATTCTTTATGATTGAAGACCCGTACTCTGTTGCTGTACGGGAAATAATGTTCATACACTTGACTGGCAATAAAATGATTTGATTCTTATTGGGTTTTTTTCTTTCTTTTATATGTTATGCTTTGATAATATAATTCGAATACTTTATTTGGTGAGTGACTATGACATTACAAAACCTCTATGTTGATGATAGCCTTAGTTAGTACAATGTTATGTAACATAATAAGTAACTTATTGATAGAGACCTTGCAATATGAAAGTTTTAAATCAAAAATTTCTGCTATAAACTTTGTATAAACGGCTTTCAGTTTCATCAAGAAACATCAAATTCCATGAATCAATTCAGTTTTTGGTTTTCAGAAGATTTACAGTATCTATAAGATCCATATATGGAACAAAAGAATTGGTTCAAGAATTGCTTGTTTCGGCGTCAAAGAATCCTTCCCTCAGACAGCTGTGCTTGTGTAGTTTGGGAAGAGGTTGAGCAATGTGTCGAGAGCATCAGGGTGAAACTTTCTTGCAAACAGATAACAAGGCCGTGTAATCCCGTTCCATTTACATGGCCAATGCAGCTCATCTCCATCCTTCAAAACCACAAAAGTCCAAAAGTATAAAGAAAGAGAGAGAGAGAGAAGTAGAGACCACAAAAGAGAAGATCTGCTAGAACATATACCTCTCCCACACTTGTGACGTGTGTACTCATCGCTTCAGTCTGACAAAGTGAGAAACGAGAAGATGACAATCATAAGCTAATTATGACAACTTTCAAGAGATTGTGTTTGGAAAAAAACATACAGTGACATTATCCATGAACTCTAGTGAAATATCATTTGCTGTGTGAGTCTTTGGATGCCACCTTCTTTCAGACCAATCAACATAAGTCACTGACCAGTTCGAGATCCCCATAGGATCAATCATCTGTAAGAAGATCCAGCAAAAATACACATAAGAGTCAAGAAGGTTTGAAAAGACTGCAGAAGCATATCCTCACATTGAAGAATGTTGGCAAGTAATGTTCATCTGCAATACAGTTCTTGTCATCCTCTATCCCTGGCTGAAAATTTATATAAACTCTCTTGTCAGAATCAGAACTGAAAACTGAAAAACTACTTCAACTGCAGGGACAAACTTACTCCACAGTACTCGCGGAATTTTGAGTAGTAGAGACTATCAGCCATCACTATAACTGCGTGTTGTCGCTTCATTGTGAACCACTGGTCAAGAATAAAAGACAGCAACAAGCAAGTCAACAGCAGTAAGCAACATACTACTACTTAAAGACAAGTTTTTAAAGACTGTCTTTACCTGAGCACCTTTTCTAAAATCTTCCCTAGCAATCTCAGGTAACATGTATGTCATGTGTCTACCAGTTCCATGAGGACCAGGATCCACAAAACTTTGAGAAAAAAAGATTAGTTGTCAGTTAAAATTAATGGACACTTTTTTTATTAAAAAGATTTTCATTTACCTCTCAATGAAGCTGACGTTGGAGTGAATTAAATATCTATAAGTGTAGTCAAAAGTATGCAATGGTATACAACTGCATATAAAGAAATACATTAATGTGATCTTGATTGGACGAAACTAATATTACATGATGTGGTTTCGGGTTTTCGGCCCCGAAAAAAAAAGAAATCATTACCTCTCTGAAAGAAGAACAAAGTGTTGGTTATCAGGATCTTCAAGAGCACTAACTAGTAACCTCTTCTCAGCATCAACCATAGAGATTCTACCCCAAGTGACCTCATCACTATGGATTTCACGATCATTAAAGTGACTACTAATATGAAGTGGCCTTTCCTTGGAGGGGTGGACGTAGATAGAGAACTTCCCTTCATGACCCTTCAGATTAAACCACTATACATTAATGAATTTAATGCAACTAAACTTGGATTTTTCTTTGAGGTGTTTTTTTTTTTTACCGTGAAGAACTTATCCCAGAGCTTCTCAAATGGCAAAGTCCCCGGAGTCAAGAACAAGAAAGCGATTTTGGGGTTTTGGGTTATGAAGGGAGGCGTTTTGAGTATGTCTCTGACCACAGCTCTAACTGCTATCTCCTCATCACTGAGTTTCCTGACGTGGACAGGTAGCCACGCAGAGGAGAGAGTCTTCGAGGAGGTTTTGATGTGTTTTGGAGACATGTGAGTGCAGATGAGAATCATGCTGAGCACTGAAACTGTCAAGACGAGCCATAAGGGCTTCTTGAGAGATGTGTGGTGGTGACGTGGCGGCCCTTGATAACTATTCTTTTGCGCCTCGACCATTTGTAAACCAAATCACACGCCAAAACACACCTCTCTTCTCTCTTTTAGTTGATAGGCATACAAAGATGGAAACTTCTTATTTCATACTTTCTTTTTTTTTAAATTAGCATTGCCTGAAGAAGAAAAAATTCAACTATTTATTGAGAAGAAAAAAAGTCGGATTCCGACAGGAAAACATGGAGATATTAATAAGTAACGTTTCAAACTAATCTTTAAGAACAAGACTCCAAACAACAAAAATGGAGAATAGTTAATATACACATAAGAACCAAACTAAAGTCCAAACAAGTCTCAGATTCGCTTTCCAGCATAAGAGCAGTTAAAAGACTTTAAAAGAGACAGTGTAGCAAGTTAAAGAAGTCAAAGTGCATTACCTTTAATTAAACTTCGAGGTGAGCTGAAACAACAAAACTGTAGAATGAAGAAAGACAGAGTATTTGTCTAAACCCAGATCTCAAAAAGTCAACTTTGATCCTCTTCTTTAAGATCTATGGCAACCCAGAAGAGTGATTATAAGGTCGAAAGAGAGAGAAAAGGAGAGCTTTGAAAAAAGAAAAGAAGATTCTTAATTTTATAAAAGCATGCATACAAGTAACTGTTGATGTCAAGACGATTCAAAACTTTTCATTTCTTTTTATACTTGACCACTTCTTCTATTGGGTTTGAAGAGACTTTTTTGGGTGAAATGAGCAAAGTCTTCTCGAAAGATCGAATTATTAAATTACAGGTTTTCCATATTCTCCAATAATTTCTCTTAATATTTTGTTTAGGGGTGGGCGCGGATCGGATATCCGGATTTTTTAAGGTATTTGTGATTTGCTTCGAAAGTTACGGATATCTAATTTTGGTATTTGCTTTGCTTCGAAAAAATACGGATATCCGGAAAAACGGATATCCGGAAAATAAATAGATATTTGCGGATATTTACGAATATTTACGGATATCTCATCCATTTTAATTAGTACAAATAATCTTAAGATTTTGATACAAATTTGCTTTGCAAAAATATTTTTTTGCATGATATAT